GCGTCGTGTAGCAAGCGCACGCCTACGANNNTTGTTTGATTGGTTAATAAATTGGGTTGATGTCAATGTGTTTGTTAGTTGCTGATTGACCTGAGTGGCAGGCTTCTTAAAATTCTCTGGTTTTCCTTGTGCTCAACATATCCAGTATTTCCACATTGTTCCAATCGAATGTATATCCGTAGTTGTCCATATGCGTTTGAGCAATCAACATAAAAGTGAAAAGGTGTGATTGAATTCTGTCAGCTCTAGGTTACCAGTACATCTCTAGACAGTATATCAACATGAAAATCTCTTTATGCATTTATTATACAATTGTAACATTTGCATTTCGGGGTTGTGAAGATTGTTATGTTACACATTTTTGAAACCATGAATTGATCAAGTTAGACATCAACACCGTTAGATACCTGCTCAGTGTCCGGTGGTTAGGCGTTCGCGCACAATATCGAAGTCCGAATCCTGCGGGGTGCAGGAGTCGTGGATGCGCACTGCTGAGTAGTCCCATACCAGGACGAAACGCCCACCGTCCAGTGCTTCCAGGTTTCTAATGGTGCTCTAACACTGATTGATTCATGGTTTCAAAAATTGTAACATTTTCTAGTTCAGACATGAAACATCCAACTGTTAGCATGTATTCAAGAATTAAATAATCAAACACCGAATAGGTGGTTCACATCATATCATCTTTAAAAAAAAAGGAAAAACCCAGTATAAACTTACTAATTCTGGTATATTCTTACTTAACATTGCAGGAAATATACGTGAATAATATTTTGTTTCCGGTGTTTCACTTTGACATCCATAGATGAACATTTGTTGTTTTCGACTATGTCCATGCAAGTCGCAATAAACAACCACTTCATATTGTTTCATGACACTGCAACGAATAGAAAATGTCAATCAGGTAAACAATGAATGAATGGAGAGAAAATCTACTGAAACATGTAGAGTATATTTAATAGTTTCAAAGGTATTGATTTTTTTTGTTAGTTCAATGAGAACTAATAGCAGCTAAAGAAAATGGTCGGTGAAACTGATTTGATCCACATTGTCAGAACACAATTACAAGCAGAGAGGATTGTTGTTATCATTTATCTCACAGTGAGATCACATGATATGATGTAGCTAGCTGCCTAAAAACAATCGGCCGCAAATAACGAGTATCACATCAAACATGACGCTATCTGAAACTAGTAGTGAGTTGACATTATTTGTGCTCTGCATCAGATGGCCTCCGCACACATGAATTGTTTGCCTAGGCTTAGGACTTCCACAATTCATGCATGCGGTGCAGATTAACACAAGTGACTTTCCAGTATCGATTTGTAGTCTTTGCAGAAGTAAACGATATGTAATCGCTGCATATTGATGATTTTAGGCAGAGAATTTTATAAATTTGTGTTAGGATATTCATCCAATATCCTGAAAGAATTATTATTGGTCAATTCCTATTGGTTAATCCCTACTGGTCAATTTTATGGTTGTCCTAGATATCAATGTCACGTACTCCACGTTGATTCTTATTGATCGTCCTAACTGTCATTGTTCATTCAAATGTTGTTTCCTATCGGTTGTCTTAACTGTCAGTGTCACGGACTTCGATTCTGTTTCCTATTCGACCTAAATGTATAAATACGCATTATCTGTAACATTTTATGACCCGGACTCGGATCCTGAGTCCGGTATCCTGATTCTCTTTTAGACTCGGACCTCGTACTTTCTGGATGCTTTTAGAACGAATGTTCTACGTCATACCAAGTCTTCTTTTACTCAGTTTGGGTAGGGACACTCAGATTAGAGTAGCCTGTCGTGTTGCCGGATCCTCTATCCTCACGCTCGTTTCCCAACTAAGGTAGACTCGTAAATAATTCAAGCATATCAAAATGACGTTTTAACGTTCATTCGTAACAATTAGTTTATACCCTGTTTTAAGAATCAGTTTTTGTCCATTCATCCCGTTCTCTGATCACTAATTCAACACTCAAACTGAACATATGGTTTTTGATTCCAATGGAAATAAAATTCATGGACGGCGATGTTGCAGTGGATAGTTTTTTCAAATGTTTCGAATGCACTCTTTTATGCTTCTAACGAGAGGAATGCTATCATGCTGCAGTGTTAGTGGGACATAAATGGAATCAAAGCATGACTACGTTGCTGCGCGGTGATTGACTAATTTCCTATTCAATCAGCGCCTGATCGATTCTTGGAGAACAGGGTAGAAAATTCTCGTGTTGTTAGCTGCATTCTGATTGGCTAAATCTAATGCAGTCTATCACGTGAATCACAATCCAGAAGCTTCTCATGTAAATGCTACAAAGAAACTAACGTTGTGTCTATCTTTGCCATCGCCTTCGGCTTCTTATTTCCATTTAACCTCGCTATTTGGAATATAATCTTTTCCTGTCCCACCGTGTTTTTGATTATTTGGAACTTGTCCAGTGTATTGTGGTCAGAGAATAGTACTAAGCAATAGGAATTAGCTGAGCATTATTCAAGCAAGCGTTACAACACTCAAGAATACATTTCCATTTATTATGACTGCGTTACAAGTCGAATTCGAGTATGTAAAAGGTTAAACAGTGATGATTCCGTAAATTACTGACAATTCATATGCATACTAAACGAATAATAACTATTAATATCATCTTCTCAATTATGAATCTTATGTAAAGATAGTTGACAAGATTTTTGTCAAGAAAGCATATGAGAACCATACTAAAGGTATATTAAATACTAAATATCTATCATAGTCACAATATACTTATTAACGTTTCTGTTGAAATCATGAATCAATCATTGTTAGGCCACTATTAGAAACCTGAAGTCACTAGACGGGCGTTCCGTTCTTGCATGGGACTCTTCAGCAATGCGCATCCACAAACTATAGCTCAAGGCAATCGAAGTCAGGAACTGCTGTTTCACGCACGAACGCTTAACTTTTGACCACTAATCCAGTATCCAACGGTGTTCATGTCTAACTTTGATTTATAAAAAAATTTGAGCAACCTTACATTTTATGATATTGATTATGTGGATTTGAGGATTGTCGCTCATCACGGAAATCATAAAATTAATCATTGTAATCAGTGGAGTTCAACCCTATCCGGTGTAGTCACTAACTACAGAATATCGTGGATTGATTGAAGTTAGACGGTAATATCGTTGATGACAGCTCAGCGATTCAGGGATTAAGCGCTCGCGCGCGAAATCGAAGGACCTTTGCTCAACTCCCTCGAACAGTGATCGTGGATGCGCATTGCTGAAGAGTCCCATACCAGAAAGAAACGGCCGTCCAGTGTTTCCGTGTTTCAAATGATAGTCTAACGATGGCTGATTCATTATTTCAATGAAAAACAACAATCTCCTTATCCAAATAATCAATATCATTTCTACATTCTAAACTACTTAACTGAATAAATTAATTTTTTATTACAAAAAAATTTAGTGGGAATGAATGCAATGAAATTACTTTATAATCATTTGTTTTGTATGCCAAATTGTAGGAAAAAAATGTTTTAAAGTAGATGTATATTTTCGATTTAAATCACAACCTGATAATGAACAACGATAATTTCCTACAATCACTCCGTCCGGATTTAACATTGGAATTAATTTGAACACAAAATTCGATCGTAATACCTGTGGAATTAGAAAAAGTGAAGGTGAATAAATGAGTAGATTCAGTTAAAATAGAAATGCTGAATTCTCAATCATTGATTTTGTTTAAAAATCCGATAAACTGTAGGGCTTAATGAGAATGTATGTAGTATGGTCATAGAAATTCATTGTTATGAAGGCAACGAAAACCGATTTTGCATTAACAATAAAATTAAGGATCCTCGACGAGAGATGTTTTGTGGTATATGAGCAATTCTGTCGTTAGGAAACTAGTACTGGTTAAGAATGGTAGATCGATCGATGAGTTAATGAATTTTTACCAGTTGAGATGGTTGGAATTTTTGTTACGGATACCCAACCATCGACTGCCTCGACAAGCAACGTTTTGTGGTGCATGAGTAGGTTGGAAGAAAGCTAGGGGAGATCAAACAAAAACATGGCACAATTCCATGAAGTCACTAACAAGTAGACTGAGTCATTTTGGTAGATGTAGGCCACCTGGTTGATAGTAATGATGATAGTAATCGATGATTAGCGACCTTGAATGACATGACTCAAAACCGTTTGCAATGGCGCAGGTGCATCCACTCTTTGTATTCGCTCAAATTTTCACCTCCTCATCATCTCTATCTTTCTCTTTCTAAAGTTATCTCACTGAAATGAACTTCTTGAATAATATCTTGGAATCCTAACCTTCTCCATTACCACTAACACTTCTGCTATCTCTACTACTATTGTGGGATTTGGACTGACAATGCGTCTCTGTGCTAATGTGGTGTGGCAACCTGAAGTGATGTCCTACACGTACGAAGTTCTACATTGTAACTGACTGACTAACTAAGGATCCTAGAAAATAGAATTTGAAGATATTTGGGCAAAACACTATTCTGTTTAAACTACTTTGTCCGATCCAAACGAATTATGCATTTATTTTTGCAGGACAAGCTAAATATCAACGTTTATTCAAAACTTGATTTGCTTATAGCGATTCCAAAGTACATCTGAATTTGGGTATGTTTAATTTTGTAACTTCTATCAATTAAGAACTTATCTGACAGACAGTGTCATTTGTCCAGCCACAGGTTGAATCTGTATAATCATTTTCAAGGTTTGTATGAGCGGACATGAGAAGAATGGACAACAGTTGGACATAAGAAAGGCCAAGGACAGAGTAGGTTGGAGAATGCTGGTCAATGTCATATGCTCCATTGAGGGTCACAGGCGTAAGTAAGTAATGAGCCGGTAGGTTTAATCATGCGTTACTGACATATCCCTCTCTCTCTTCGACTCATTCGCTGACTGGTGAGACTCATTTCTCAGTGATGTGATGATTTTTAAAAGACCTGTACTTACTGACTAGTTGTCACTTTCTATGAACTGTGATCATTTTACACATACTAATCCTCTCCAATGTCTTCTATTTAACTTGAAGAACAACAACTGTAAAATTATTCGTTAAAAATTTAGACTAAAGTTTTTATACATTGTTTATGCATAAAACAAAATCTCTTAAGCAAATAAAAAATCTGCATAATCAACTGAATGAATGACAACATACTTTAGCATCTGGATCTGTACTTATCAAAAAATCCATTAAACCTTTCATCATCCAACTACCTTGTGTTTCACCTGGATGTACGCGGGCTGTAATGACAACACAACGTTTCTTCTCTGTTGGCTTATTGTTATTGCTATCATCATCAGTGGATTGTGATTGAAAATCTGTCTGTGATTCAAAGGAAACAGTTGAATAAACAAAATTGAATAATATCATGCATAATATATACATATATATACATTAAAGATTGATCAATCACAAAGTAGCTGAATCCTCAAAGTTTGGAATCTAACATATCGATAAACAAACTCAATCTCACTCCGGAGCACAGTCAGAACTTCCAGGTTCTGGTGCATGAATCTTTAAATGTTAGATACGATCAAATGTAAATTGCCTAAGTACACTATGGATAGAAATTTTTTTAACTGGTTACTATGTTATGAAATTTAGTTTAAAAGATTAGTTTGATTAATTACATTCGTATTAAATGATACTACTTATTAACATATTCGAATTATTATTATTATTACGTAATTTAATTGTAGACAACTTTTAACATCAGAGTTACTGGACACATGTATGCATGCGCGTGACCACGTCATTTGATAGGCTTGAACTATTACGAGTTCACCTTAGTCAGTAAACGAGAGCGAGACAATGATCGAGTGACCAAATAAGCTACTCTAATCGTAGCGTCCCAAATCCCCAATGAATAGAAGAAGACTTGATATGAAGTAGAACATGTATTCTACAAGCATCCAGAAAGTTTGAGGTCCGAGTCCAGAAGAAGATAAGGATCCCGGACTAAGGATCCGGGTCATAAAACATTACAGATAATGCGTATTTATACAGTTAGGTCGAATAGGAAACAACATTAAAGTCTGTGACATTGATAGTTAGGACGATCAATAGGAATTGACCAATAGAATTAGACTTACAAATAATCTTCTTAGGATATAGGATGAATATCCTAACATACTTATCAATCCTTTGTAAATAGCCTCACAGTCTATTATACCGTCATGTTAAATCATTCAGCCATATAGTACTCACAATGAATTTTGAAAACGTACAGAACTGAAGTTTTCCATAAAACAGCTAGCTCTCAAAAAAAGCATTAATTCGAATCAAGGATAAGATCCCTTATTACGTACACACAAGACTGTGCTGATTGCGATGCATACGTTATTGAAAGGTCTTCTGGTGAAATCTCGACTTGTGCCAAAGAATACTTAAGCTACTCAAAAGAATCTCCTAATTATCTTGTAGAGCTGGGAAAATTGTAAATTTAAATGGTAATTGCAGAACATACCTTGGAAGTAGGTTAAAATAATTCAGTAAGCTTTATCTAACCATAAAGAGAGACAAGCAGTGGAAGCATTTCATATGACGCTAAATCTCTATGCTCTCGACAAGAAAGAAGGTTGGATTTTTCTTCCAATCTGGACTGTTTATTCAAATAACCACAATTGACTCATTTCAGATACGAAAAATCTTTTTATTATTTTTAAAACTCCACTAATTCATGCCACAAATTACATATTTTTTTACCCTCCTTCCCCTCATATACATAAAATAAGGGCTTACACAGAATCACCTTGACCGAGGAAAATAATATTGACATTGACAAGTCCAGACCAATTATGATTTGGACTGTGTTAAACAATACTCTGCCTTGTTGTGACTCCTGCACATAAACACGTCATTCTGATATACTTGAACTAATACGAGTTTACCTTAGTCGGAAAAACGAGAGTGACGATCGAGGATCCGGTCACACGACATGCTACTCAAATCCGATTATCCCAACCCCCAAATTGAGTAAAAATAAGAAGATTTGATATGAAGTAGAGCCTGTATTCTACAAGCATGCAGAAAATACGAGGTCCGAGTCCAAAAGAGAATCAGGATCCCGGATTAGGGATCCGGGACCGGGTCCTGGTCCTTGTCATAGGACGTTACAGATCATGCGTATTCATACATTTAGGTCGAACATGAAATAGCCTCGAAGTCTGTGACATCGACAGTTAAGACGACCGATAGGAAGCAACATCTGAAGTGAGATTGATAGTCGGGACAACCATCAAGAAACAACATTGGAGCACATGACATGGATATCTAGGACGACCAAAAAATTGACCAGTAGGAATTAACCAATAAGAATTGACCAATAATAATTCTTTTAGGATATTGGATGAATATCCTAACACTTGTTTCCTCGTTTTTTTATTTAAACTTTAATTTATTTCGGTCACTGTTTTATTTACTTACTTTAAAAAAGTGACTTGTATTCAGTCACGAAACATCAGAAATACAATTTTTCACTGATTAGTGGAATATCGTCAGAAAATTACATTTATTCTACTATTACTACAATAATAAATTATGTTCTGGTAAGAGACTCGTCAGCAGTGCCCATCCATGACTCCTGCCGCTTGCAGGGCTCGAACCCAGGGCATTCGACCATGCGTACGAACGTGAAATGATTGATTTTTGCTTTCAGTAACGAGTAACAATCTCCAAAACTCTTTACTCAAAAATTGTACAGTGTGCTCACTGAGGACTAGCTTCGTGAGGAAATTCTCAGAATTCTAGTGAGAAGACATGACCAGTGGAGTTCAACCCTGTCGGGTGGGGTTGCGCAAAATACTTAGATTGATCAGAGTTATAAGTTAACACCGTTGTATGCCAACTCAGTGGTTCAGAGGATAGGCGAACTCACGCGAGACCGGAGGTCCTGGGTTGGAGATCTGCGATTCGCTAGAATCGTTTAAGCTCAGTGCTGATAAGTTCTGTTGTAGGACGAAACGGCCGTCCAGTATACTTCCAGGTTTCTAATGTCAGTCTAACATTGATCATTGAACATAAAAAACTGATCGTATTATAAAACACTTGATTTACCTCATTCAGAAGTTGATCATTACTATTATTATTATTATTATTATTATTTTCATCCCCTTCATCCCCATCCCCATCCCCATCTGCATCATCATCATTATCCGGTTCTGTAATTGTTAACAATGGTACAGGATTACTAGCTAATGTATAACATAGTATAGTTTGTTGACAAATTTTCTTAATTGATGTATTCAGCGTTAATTTATATAAATATTCTTTCAATTGTGTATAAGTATATGGATAACATGCAGCAAAATAAACAATATCATTTGTATAAGGGAATTTAAATGTCCAAGTTAATGAATATGTACATTGAGATTTAAGTGTATCATCTTTTGATGATTTATGTTTCAATGGTGGTGGCTGTTGTTGTTGCGGTTGTTGGTGAGGTTGTTGTGATTGTGGTTGTGACTGTTTAATGTCAGTCGATTTGATAGATCTATAAGTTTGAATGAAAAAGATTGAAATGAAAGTGATCATGATAAGATAGATTTGATACTTTTTTTTTAAAATACGGACAGTTGAGAACAGGAAGAGTTTTCTCTTCATCGTGAAATGCCCCTATATAGCCATGTGTAATGGAACCCCTATCTTGTTGTGGTGGGGTTTCTGTTTAAGAAATTGAGAGGATGGATTGTGAATGCAAGGTGCTTTGACAAGGTTAAGTGGAGTTAGGAAACCTTAATTCGTAACTAACGGTTCACATGAGCTAGAGGATCCTCAGAGTACAAATAGTGTATGAACCTACAACCATGAGACTGTATCTCCTAAAGTCATTTCCCTGCCTCATGGATTAGACCTGTTAGTGGAATGCTTGAGGAGTGGCCCCCTTCCTGTTGCAGTTTTGGTGGCTGAATAGTATAGTATCTCAGTACAAGCACAAATTCAAATGCCATTTGTACTAATTATCATTCTACTAAATAGTAGTATATGGTGATTATGAATGAGAGTGAAGTATTTAAACTACAATATTTTGAATTGATCAACTGTCGAATTTCCATTTCGGATTTGAACTGATGTAGAACTTAGAAATATTTACAATAAATTGATGACGTTTCCTTTCTTAACGTGAATTTAAATATGTGAACACTTATTAATAAGTATATTTAATAAATTCCTCTATCTACGAACTTAATTACAAGTTGATGTTGAGTTACTTATTGTTTAAAACGATCAGCAGTTCTAAAAATATCTAGATGAGTGTTTCTGTTAGTAGAAGAGTTATGATTCACTAATATTTTCAGGAGTCAGTAAGTTAAGAAACAACCTAGTATTCTCATGACAATAAACTGATCACAGTAATTGTCATTGATGTGTGCCGTACGATGTAACAGAACTGGGACCACTATTAAACGAAACAAAAGGAAGCATAATATCTCAGTCTAATTAATCAGAAAATACTGGATCCAATCTTCGAGACGGTCATAATTTTGTAATTCTGTTATTTTTTAGGTGGCAGTTGGATTTATAACACTGCTTACTATGTGATAAATATATATTTTCACAAGAATGACGACTGTTGTGACGCGTTCCCTACTAACAACTCTGTACTCCAAAATGCTGTCCTCTATGATCATGCGTTTATTAAAATATTTGTAAAAAGCGTCCATTCAGAACGTTTAAAACGTATTACTTATAAAATAGAATACTTGAAATTATGTCAGTATATATGATGAATCGTGAACTAAAAAGGAGAAAGCTGTTAAGATGTATTTGGTATTTTTATGTTACTCAGTACGATATCAGTAGTTTTGGAACATCATCTAGAACTGATAGTTTTGTTTGTGTGAAAATGAATCAAAGAGTGTAAATTTTTTCAACGGTTTATTGGTGATAATTATCCAAAGATATCATTCCAGAGGGATGTTGATTCAAATCCGAATGAAAATTAAAAGTTAATTTGTTGATTGATCAGACAACCTTTCTGGCCTTTACTAACCATCGGTGAACTAACAATTATAAGGGTCTAAAATATTGTTCATTAACGATTTCTTACTAGATTCAGTGAATACGTGCATGGAAAGTATAAAAGCATTATTTTGCTGCTAACTTTCAACTGTAGCGTTTAAATTTCCTTCCATCATTTAAAACAAAACTGAAATTTGTCATAGTCCAAGTTCTTCAACTTTCTGTGAAGAATATTTTTTTATCACAGTCGTTTATTTGGACAGTGTTGTTGAAGTCTATTAACTATCAACCATCCACCATGCAATCAATCTCAGTAATTGAAAAGTATAGGTGGGATGGAAAGTAGTCGTGAACTTCCATCCTCATACTTGAAGTCTTTTCTCAGAACATATTTAAAAAATGATAATCCATTTTGATGCGTCCGCTTTGTTGATGAATGAATTTTTTTTGAACTCTACCCAAAATGTCATATAGATCAGTTTACGTGCTTGTTATAATTATGCTCGTCTCTAGGTATGCTTAAAACTATTACGGGTTCACCTTAGTTGAATAATGAGGACAAAACAATGAACCAGAAACCAGGTAGGCTACTGTGATCCGATTGTCCCAATTGTACCAGCAAGAAGTCTTGATATATTGTAGATAGTGTATTCTACAAACACCCAGATAGCACACAATGAAACCAAGCACTAAAAAAATTGCGTTTATTTATACTTGATAGAGATGTCCTTGAGAGAGTCACAAAATAGCACACTAGAATGACACAGTAACCAATCACAGCCCAGGATTTTTTCAGGTGGGAAATATGATCTAAAGGTGAACTGATCGGTTCATGAAATAAATCCAAACTGAAGATATTTATCAAGCGAGTTCTGGGGATCTAACATCCTCAACAGTTGTGTACAAGAAAATAACAGTAAATCTAGCAGCTATATATTGATCAAAATGAAACATCAACTGATATACTATATAAATAATACAGTTACAAGTCAGAATGTTTGTTTTTTTAGTGGAATAAGCATCGAGTTAATGATTACTACTACAACAGCATTTCTTATCTTTTGATTAAGCAATTAATGAAAAATACTCCCTGCTGAATGGAAATATACAAATGAAAAATAATTCACTCACTTTGTTTGATAATAATTTATATCAGTACCAACACGTCGCCAACCAATACCAGTTAATTTAGCCATTTTCTCACTATACATTAATGGTCGCATACCTTTCGCAAATAAACTAGTAGACTGTAAATGATAAACAAAAATTTTAAAACAGAGTTTATGAACTTTTTATGAGGTAGAATTGACTTTTATATTCGTGTTTCTTACTGAGACATCCGAGTAAGCAGCGCTGGTCTTAGGCAAAGAGTACTAGGTAAGAATGGTAAATCAGTTATTAGGGCAGTTAATATTCTTCAGTTTAAGTGGTTGGAATATGTGTTACGAATGCCCAATCACAGACTGATACGGCCAGCGACGATACCTGGTGAAGGTGTAGGCTGTAAGAAAGCTAGGGGGGGGGCAAACAAAAAAATGGTACAAATCCATGAAGTCACTGACAGCTGGACTGAGCCATGTTAGTAGATATCGACTACGTGGTTGGGGTTCATGAGACAATAGTAACCGATGATTAGAGACCTTGAACGATATCGCTCAAAATCATTTGGGATGACGCAGTTTTATCCATTCTTTGTCTTTGCTCATGACCTCATGTGCTCAGGGTCATCTTTTCTTCTGTTTTTAAATTTATTTCATCGGATTATACTTCATGGATAATTTCTTCAAACCCTAATCTTCCCCATCATCGCTAACACCTCTAGCTCAATACTTACCATACATTTAATCAATTACAGAGTTATCGCTTTAGATCTGATAGTCACAGAGCAAACTGCATTGATAATTCTTATTACACTTTCAGCTAATCCAATGAATTTATCGTCATATCCATCCCATGTTAAACTTCTGTTAAACTACTTACTTTAAGAGGATACTACTGATAAGCAAAACAACTGATAGACATTGTTGGGGATGTTAGATCCCCAGAACTCGCTTGATAAATATCTTTATTTTGGATTTATTTCATGGAGAGATCAGTTGACCTTGAGATCACATTTACCACCACGGAAAATCCTTGTCTGTAATTAGTTACTGTGTCATTTTAGTGTGCTATTTTTGTGACTCTCTCAAGGACGTCTCTATCGAGTATAAATAAACGCAATTTGTTTAGTGCTTGGTTTCATTGTGTGCTATCTGGGTGTATGTGGAACATACTTTCTACACTATGTCAAGACTTCTAGCTGATACAATTTGGTCAAGGGATCACAGTAGCCCACCTGGACTCTGGTTCATTTTTTTTTCCTCGTTATTTGACTAAGGTGAACCCGTAATAGTTTAAGCATACCTAGAGATGAGCATAACACATATTCGTAAAATCCATTTGTTAAGCAAGTAATACAATACTTGGTAATCCATATTTATCATTATAGATTTATGGAGATTGGCGTTTATTACTGGAATCATGAATCAATCATTGTTAGACCACCGTTCGAAACCTGGAAGCACTGGACTACAGTTTCGTCCTGTTGGTGTAGGCAATAACTACCGAAGAGAAAAAATAGGTGACGTTACACAAAATCCCTAGATGGATCAGAGTTAGACATTAACACCGTCGTATGTCGACTTAGTGGTCCAGAGATTAGGCGTTCGCGCGCAAGACCGAATGTCCGAAGTTCGAATCCTGTTAGTGGCAGGAGTTATCGATGCACACTGCTGAAGAGTCTCATACAAGGACGAAACGGCAGTCAAGTGACTGCAGGTTTCTAATGATGGTCTAACAATGATTGACTTACGATTACAGTAATTTATTTTTGATTGTTAGATAATAATAATAATAAATCATGAAATCGTAACTGAGTTAGTTTAAAAATATCTTTATAAAATATACACAGTTAAATTTACATTAAAATTTACTCACCTTATAAAAATTTACAATTGTAAATCTATAATTATTATTATTCTCTGTATTTTCCACACGGAAATAAAACCATTGTGTATACTTTTTTGTATATAAATCTGGTCGTAGATAAAGTTCATATTCATAAGGACCACTGGAAAAAATTTTTGTTTTGGAAAAAGTAAAGTATCTATTTTTAGTACATTATAAAAATAAGTTTACCAGATTGTTAAAAGAAAATTAAATTTTTTCTCATATAATAGTAAAACAAACAAATGGTTGTGCTTTATTGGAGCTTGTGTAATAACGTGACTGACTAAATCTGAGTATGGATACAGAAGGCTCGATTAGCTTTAGCCAGTTTGCGTGATTAACTGTGTAGGCGAGATATCCGTTTATTGACCAAAGGACGAGTGTACTGCGTAGCAGTTTGCTCCGTCATACTTTATAGCTGTAAAACATGGCCAGTTAGAGCAGAAGATATTTTTAGGTTACTGTATCCTGGAACAACTGAATAAGCAATGCTGTGGTTAGGAATCGGGTACTGGTTAATGATGGTAGATCGATCGATGAGTTAGTGAACCTTCACCAGTTGAGATGGTTGGGATATTTTTTACGTATACCCAACCATCGACTGCCTTGACAAGCGATGCTATGTGGTGTAGCAGTAGGTTGGAAGAAAGCTATGGGCGGCCAAACTAAAACATAGCACAAATCCATGAAGTCACTGACAAGTGGACCCAGTCATGCTTGTAAGTTTAGACTACCTGGTTGGGGTCCGCGAGACGTTAGTAACCGGTTGTGAGAGACGTTGAATGACATGGCTCAAAAGCGTTTGCAACGGTACAGGTGCATCCACTCTTTGTGTTCTTTCAAATTCTAATCTTCTGAACTCTTCATCACCTCTTTCTTTCTCTTTCTAAATTTATCTCACTGAATTATACTTTTTGAATAGCTCGTTTGAACCCTAATCTTCTCCATTGCTGTCAATAGTTCTACTATCTCTACCACTGTGGGACTTGAACTTACAACTGCGTGTCTGTGCTAATATGGTATGTCAACCTGAACTGATGTACGTAGGTACGAAGTTCTTCGTTATAACTGAGTGACTGAATAACTGACTGACTGACTGTGTAATGACATTGTAATAACAGAATGGCAGTTGTACAACCTTGCTGTCCAGTCTGATGATTGAATAATTCGCTTTTGTTGCTGGTAGGACCAGAGACATCCTATTGAACGCTTGACACAGTGATCAATGGATATTAACTAAAAACCTAAACACTTGTTTGCCACATCGATCTCCCCATAAAACACTGTATCAAATCAAAAGACGAAAATGGTAAACAGTTCATTTCTTTACCGTAATTTCTTCAGTCACAATTCAAGGCTCGTACATTAGGACATTTTAAATGTTTGACCACAAAACAACATAATTAGAGAATTATATTTTGATTAAAAAGAGGTCATTAATGATATATCCAGAACAATTAGACACATGGTAACGCTTCACCAATCAAACAAAAGCTTAGAAATAATACGTAAATATTAATGATAATGGGGCGGAAAATTAGAGAACCACGAAAGCCACCATCCAGAAGATACAAATATTCCTCAACAGTTGTCTACGCAAAATACTTTGGATTCGTTGGTCAGACACCATCACTTACAACCTACTGTAGGAGAGAACTAACCAGATCAAATTGGAGCAAGAAATGAGGATGAAGTGATAGAAGTGGATAGGACACACATTGCGGAAAGCACAGAAGTGCGTCACAAGACAAGCCCTCATTTGGAACCCTCAAGGTCAACGGAACACATTACGCAGAGGAATGAAGACAGACTTAAGAAGAATGAACGCAAATTGGGCAGAACTGGAAAGGAACGTTCAGGACAGAGTAGTTTGAAGAATACTGGTCGGTGGCCAATGCTCCGTTCGGATTAACAGGCGTAAGTAATTAGGTAATAAATGGTAAGTTGTATTTCTACACTGCTCAACCCATTTTAGATTAATTTTACATTGAAGTTTATGGTTTTAGTTGGCTACTCACTAACTCGTACTTCATCGACTTAATTTATAGATTCTAACAAATTCAGTAAGAATAGTTTATCAATCATAGTAACAACAGGATAACACAATAACCAATAAACTATTCATTTAAAACTTTCAAATGAAAAGTGTGATTGCAGTTTAATCATTTATATTCTAAAGGTTTTTAAGTAGTGTAAGTTTAATATACCGGTCTTATAATGGATCTATGGAAATTTATTGGTTTCATTAAAAAAATTAACTATAGTCTATTTTGTTCTAATATTAGAAAGATTAATCCGAAGTTTGCATTGAAGATCTTATCAGAACTCAAATCCCAGAATTTTTTGGGACGCACAGTTACCGTTCAACCTAGAGACCACATCCATTGATATCCAATGACCTACTGAAAACTTGTGTTAATTTATGCATAACCTTGATGACAACCAATGAGAAAGAAGGTCAAATGATTTGTATGATAGGTTAGTGGAGATTGTTGAGTTACTTTATTGAAATCATGAATCGAATAATGTTAAACCGTCATTAGTAACCTGGAAGAACTGAAAGATTACTGCTTCAAACTGGTAGGGAACTTAGCAACAGTGAGTATCCAAGACTCATGATACTCGCACGATTCTATTACAGAACCTGCAATCTCGCACGCAAAAGCCTAACCTTAGCTGGATTCGAGCGCGTACGCCTTACCACTGAACCACAGGGCTGGCATCCAACATATAAAGTGGAGTTCAACCCGTGTCAGGTGTAGGCAGTAACAACTGAAGACAAATGGGTGAGGTTGCTCAAAATCCTTAGATTGATCAGAGTTAGACATTAACACCATTGGATGCTGGCTGGCTCAGTGATCCAGAGGTCAGGCGTGCTTGCGCAAGACTGTAGGTCCTGGTTTCTAATCCTGTGTGAGTAGAGGGAGTCGTGGAAACGCACTGCTGCTGATGAGTCCCATGCCAAGACGAAACGGCCGTCTTTCAGTGCTTCCATGTTTCTATTTGTGGTCTAACAATGATTTATCCATGATTCCAATGTGTGACAACAATGATCTCCTTATCTTTAATGGAATAATCTAAAATTGACTGAATTATTAGTTTCGTTTTATTTCATCACTATCGATCACATGTTCTATTGTGTTCTGGTATCCTAGTTTTTCATGTTGTTTAACTTAGTCATAATAATTTCGTTTGTTTGTTTTTCAACCACTCACTGTCTGTTATTTAAGTTATAAAATATCTAAGTGATATCTGACTGAATCAAGTTCACAACCGAAATCATTTTATGTCCTAATCAATAAGCCTAATTAAAGTAAGAAAGTGACTTTTTAGCTAATCCTATCACCAAAAAACACAATTTCGTCCTTGAAATATATATATATATATATCCATATAAAAAAAGATTTGTAACTAGTAATTATTTGATAGCGCTTTGTACTTTTCTTCATTAAAATAACCCAAAGGTAAATGATGAGATACCTTCAAACACACTATCTCAATAACATACATAGATTTATGCTATAACATAAAGCATAACGTTGGAACATGGATTTTGTCCTTTAAGGCACACGTTAGTCGTTCATTATCAACATGATCATCATTGTTTCCCTAACACTGAAGTCACTCGCCTTCATTTATCTCATTTCATCAGAGTAGAAGAAGAAGACAATTTTAATGAATTCTAATTAGAATAATGGATAATTTGCAAAGCATCACGTGACCATATTCATTGATAATAACAAAGTGTTTTTTTTATATTACAAGAGAGTTAGTATAAATAATAATTGTCGAAATGATAATTTATTCGTAATTTCATTATATGCATGATGTTTCCTTAACTTATTTATTTATCTTACCCTCAGATTGTGATTTTTTTGAATAATTTTTGTATTTAGAGTAGTACACTTGTGATAAAACAAGTACATGCAGAAAAAATAAAACTTAATCTGTAAATATGTAAATTTGTTATAAGTTACAACGCTTCTTAAATTGTTAAAAGGCAATGAAGTGTCTAATGTATATTTTCATGTTTATAGAAGATTTCTATCTACAAGGTTTGTCTTAAAGTGTACATTCTGTTGAAATCGACAAACAGGTCAACAGTAACCAATCAAGATCGAGGTTAGCAGCAGAACAAGCTACAGGTCAAATGTGGAGAAATTCGAATGCTTCACTTCTTCCATCTGAAGTTTGTACTGATGATGTTGTGTTCAGAAGAAGAACAATGAAAGCTCCACAACCAAAACAACAGCCAGCTCAGAGAACCAAACACCACCACTACAATCATCCACCTGAGCTACAAATTTTCTCCAGCATCTCCGAAACATAGTTTCAGAAAATTATCTGACATTTATATGTGCTCAAATGTATGCTGGTTAGCACTGCTAGAGTTACACATTGAAAAGTGGTAGTTTGCTCATTCATGACTAGGGATAAGTTATAAATTTCTTTGCAGATAGTCGACGAATTACCTTACCCGAAATTCATTTTCGATCAACGCATCATCCAGTTTAGGAAATGGGTATACTTTCAGTTTCTGTGAAGAATATTCAATAGAACTGTGTTGAATGGCAGAATTACTTAATGTGAAAAATACCGTTGTCTAAAACCCTTTTGTAAGTGTTGGGGATAAAGTTAAGCGTCAGTGGGTGAATTTCCCGCCATTTCTCTTGTGTTCAAGTTATCATTTAGATTTATCCCAGAATTATTAGAAGTGACTAAGAATTCGGATTTGGAATTTAATTAGCAGATTTATCATTAAGTATCAAAAAAATTAGTTTCCTCAACATTTCATGTTGATATTATTTCGTTGTAGAAACCAGTTATCCTTTTTGGAAATTTGCCGTTAACAAGTATTGAAGTTTTAAGAAGTAAAACGTCCACCATTATTATAGTGGCGCATCCTTGATCCCTTAACCAGTAATCGAACCTAAGGACTTCGGTCTGGTTTGACAAAACCTAACCTATAGACCATTAAATCGGTGTCTAATGATGTAAAAGTCTAAATTTTGGCAATCCGTGATATTGCACTACCGAATTAGTCTTGTAAACCATTGAGTACCGGCTCAGTAGCCTACTGGTTAGGCATTCGTATGCAAGATGGATATTTGTAGGTTCGGTTCAAAATCAATAGATAGTGGAAGCATATTGATGAAGAGTCCCATACTTGCAGATCTTTAATTACTGTCTCACCTAGATCCAGTTTAAAAAACTCCACAACGCCATACTGATTATTTAATTTTACTTGACGACATTCTTTTTGTACGAATCCAATTAGTATTTCGATATAGAACTGATCTTTATGGTTTTTATTAATAATCAGTGAAATTTTAATCGACTCAAGTTTGATACTTATCTTCAACATAGAACATTGGTTGGATGCTAACTGACTGACATTCATTTCAAATGGATTTAAAGAGATTCTTAAGCGTGCAACTCGATAGTTAGATCAGACACTAGACATCTATGCTATTTTGAAAACAGCTTAAACATTTTTATGGTCTCATCGTTATCACTGACAGATTTTCTTCATTGCGAGGTTGTTGTGAAGATCGTTAAGTTTTATTTGTAACCATGAATCGATCAATGTTAGACCATCATTAGAAACTTGGAAGCACTGGACGGCCGTTTCGTCCCGGCATGGGACTCATCAGCAGTGCGCATCCACGACTCCTGCACCCCGCAGGATTCGATCCCAGGACCTTCGGTATTGTGCACGAACGCCCTAACCGTTAGACCACTGAGCCGGTACTAACGGTGTTAATGTCTAATTTGATCAAATTCACGGAGTTGAGCAAGCTCAGACCCTGTACACATCCGAACATGTTTGAACTTCACTGGTCATGATTTTCTTCAGCTCAATTTTTATTGAACTCTATCGATTGGGCAGTATAGTTGTTCGAATTAAGTAAATCAATGCTATTAATGAGTTGAAACAAAATATTAGATTTCCCATGGTCAACAGATTTAAAATTATCTATTTAAATAGTTTAATAACTTGCACTGATCAGGATGTTTATTAATTAATATTCCATGTTAAATAAAGTATTTTTTTCGAGAAAATGTGAGGATTGGAGTCTTTGGATTAAATAATTCATTCATCCTTCTCGAGCTACAACTTATTACATGTCTTCTCAACTGTGTCAGTTATTCGTTTATGACCTTGATGCATATGTGCATCGGTTACATGTCTAGCTTATTTTGGTCGGACTATAAATACTTAGTCATTCATGACTCGTTGCATTCAGTTGACCCACTCACATTCTCCACTTCACTTTGCTTTTACACCTTCCATTCTGTTTGCTTATCGAATGCATGAAATGAAATCATGCGCAAAAAATAAACCATTTCAGGAGTTTCACCACCACCGTCGTACTAATGAGGTTCGCCTAAGAATAATGTATGAAAATGGAAGATTTATTTCAAAACATGTTCAATTCATCATACGAATCGAAGTCAAACGCCGGACCACTAAAATAGTTAATAAAATATATATGACGCAATGGATTAATTAATTGATATTCCTTGTAAAAATTTCAATCTATTCTAGGTTAAATTACTTACGTGCATATGGCTTTTGATAAATTGCCACATTCAAAACGTGATTCAAATTTTAAAAATTTTGAATCGTTTGATAAATTTATTGGTTTGCCAACTATTCCATTAGCTCTAGATGCTGTAAACTTGAAGGGAAAAATCAATCGAAAATCACAGTGAACGCATTTTGTGTGTAATGTACCATTTTTGTTTCGATAATTAAAAAAAAAGAAGTTTATTATCAGTATGGTCTCATTAAAATACAGTGCTATCTATCCACTTCCACTGCTTCTTCCTGATTTCCTCTTCAAATGGAATCTGGTTTGTTATCTCCTACACTAGGTTGTTGCTGATGGTGTCTGACCAACAAATCCGAAGCATTTTCCGAAGACAACTGTTCATAAACACTTGCATCTTCTGGATGATGGCTTTCGTAGTTCTCCAAGTTTCCACTACATACAGTAGAACTATCTTGACATTTGTGTTCAGAATCCTGATTTTTGTGTTAATTGATATTTGTCTGGAGTTTCAGATATTTTTCAACTGTAGAAATGCAGCCCTTGCTTTGCCAATCCGCGACCTCACATCTACATCGGATCTACCTTTCTCGTCGATGATGCTGCCAAGTTATGTAAAAATGTTGATGTCCTCCAAGGCATCTCCATCAAGAGTGCTTTGGTTGGTGAACGTTGTGTTGCAGAGGCTGCTGCCACACTGGTCGTCTTCTCTTGTATTTGTTGTTGCGTGTGCGATAGAAGAGCCAGGTCACCTGCGAAGTCCAGATCGTCCAACTGCATCCTAGCTGTCCATTAGAAACCGTGCTTCCCTTCACATGTCGACGTCTTCATAATTCAGTCAATCACCAGGAGAAAGAGAAAGGGTGAGTGTAAGCAACCTTGCCTCACACCGGTCTTCACCTCAAAAGAGTCTGTCAGCTGTCCTTCGTGTACGATTTTGCAGTTTAATCCATTATAAGGATTCCGTATGATGTTAACTATTTTCTCAGGCACACCGTAATGTCGAAGAAGCCTCCACAGTGTTTTCCTATCCACGTTATCGAATGCTTTCTCGAAGTTGATGAAGTTGATGTAGAGTGGTGAGTTCCATTCAATTGATTGTTCCACAATGATCCATAATGTAGCCATTTCGGTCAGTACACGATCGATCCTTACGAAATCCAGCCTGTTGATCCCGAAGTTGGGTGTCTACGAAGTCCTTCATTCTGTTTAACAATACCCTGTTGAAGACTTTGCCTGGTATTGACAGAAGAGTGATGTTATTATCAATATGGTCTCATTAAAATAGAGTCAACACAGTAAACATTATCACACAGTATCATTACATAAAAAACAATGGAGTGTATTTCAGTTGCAGATTGGGGGATTATTCACAAAAGTGAATCGCATTAAATTTACGGAGAGAGAGATAAACACCAAGGAAATGAAGTGTTACAGTTGGGAAATTAAAACTTGTGTTTATACGAATTCGTTTGAAAGATTATGAAATAGCAGACAATTTTGATGTTGGATTATGAACCTATATTCAATAGGACTAATAGGACTATTCATTGAGTTTATTCCACTATATTGTTATTTAAACGTAAAAGTATTTGACAAATGATTACTAGTTCAGTTTTTCAAACAAAATGATGCTATTTTCAAAAATCTAACAATGTGGAGATGATTGTTTCACATTGTAATCTTTGAATCAAGCATTAGATACCTGGATGCACAGGACATCCGTTTCATTCTGGCATGGGATATGTTATATCAACGCAATGAATGATTCTTTTAGATTCCGGATCTTCTTTTTAGCTACCTTTATCATAAGAGTTTTATAACTAAATGATACAAACTGTTAGTGCATATTTTTGCGGATTCTTCATTATTATTCACTGTAATCAAACTCTTCTACGTTTATCTATTAAATCCAAAATGGTAAGTGTTTCATTGATCAACGATTTTCACTACATAATCTAACTTGTTGATTATTGACATCGGTAATTTTATCGTACCATAGAAATATGGCATAATGAGGCATTCAAGCTCATGTACATTTGTCGACAGGTTTTATTATTACATTGGTTATGATTGACTTTCTTATTAACAGTCACATGTCAATTTCCTAATTACATTGTAATTATATATAATTCAACTTACAAATTTTCCAATCATTGGTTCATATTGAAAAACAACTGTTTTATTATTATTAGTATTCTCATGACATTCTTCTGATATCACTGGCTGTAGTTCATTACCGGCTAAAGAGAAACAGAATTTCAAACAACTAATTTTAAATACCGTAAAATTATTCAAAATGTATCATTTTTTTTGTGTGAAACAAGTACAGGACAGAATACTCTTTAACCTTAAAAATTCGCCGATAATATCTATCTGTAATCCGTCAGATATTTTCCCGCTAACTTAAAAAGACCAATGTGTTGAGGATTGTAGCGTAAGATAATTTCAATGTGTACAATGTAACATGTTTGAAAAATATCCACTGATCTGTACGCGTCAAATTACTGTAAAATTATCTGTGATATGCATCACTGAAGTTATGAATAAAAGGAGAATAGGGTTAACATATCAATGATAGTTATGTTATGATTAGCATAGTGTGACTAAAAAACGTATACTAACCATAAGTATATATACGTCAAAATTTACCTCATTTTATATCAAAGAAGACAATTGAAACTATAGTAATTTTAAAGTTGATAAGCATTTTAATTGTAAACAAACTTAAAGTTTGTAAAATAAGCTAACTTTGGTAAGATGCTTAGTTTAAACAATCCACTTCTGTTTTATTTTTGTGGAAAATAAAGGAAATTAAATTTCACGGTAAACCGGAAGTTGATCTTGTAAAACAAAACTAGATTAAATTAAATTAAATCAATGTAGGTGATATTGTCCTTGAAATAATCTTTTAGGGGAGTAAAGAAAATTAATTTTTTTATTAAGTTTAGGGACTTTTAGCATCTTTGTACTTTAATGTAGTAAATATTAAGATTATCATTACTGTCGAAGGAATTCGTTAATAAGTGCATGAACAAAAATATCGTGAGTTTTAGAAGCTTAAATCAGAATGTGCTCGAAGAAATGCAGAATATATTAGTTAAGAGTGAGGATTAAATAAGGATAACCACTGAAAACTAAAAGGAAGTTGAAGATATAATGCAACTTCTTAAAATAAGTAAGTTGCTAATATCAGATGAAAAGGATATGTAAACAGTAAGTGAGAAGATGTATTGTCGACTCTTCACTCGACATTCAACGAACTACGTTTTCAAATAACTAGTTTTAGAGACAAAAAGAGAAAAGGGTAATTCAAACGACTTTCATACATTTTAAAATTCAATGTCCCATTTTGAGATGCTCACCTTTATCGAGTCGAGCCAGTATTGACCCCCAATCAAAAATTATATTTATTTATTGCTTGCTATACTATCTACTACAACTTCAGTCATGTTTAGAAAAATCAGATTAGGTGGACGTCTTCCTAAGTTTGCATTGCACATTATTTCTAAGGAATATGTACGGTGTTTTATCTAATTTCATTAGCTAATCATTTGACATTTTTTATTTACAACCTTTCAGTGGAATTACTGAGTAATTCATATGGTTAACAATAAATGAATTAGTTTTCTCACTATAATAAAAGCAATCTGAAAAGGTTAGGTTCACTTAATCACATTTCAGCAAGCAGGAGTAAAAAACAGCTTGAAAGCAAGTGATATTTTTCATGTAAAATTCAGCGATTATTCAAGTTCTAACCAATGTCACCTTTGTCTAGTTTTTCAATACTAGTTGGATTCTATCGAGAAAGCTGCAATGGAGCGATTCGTATAGATAACTCGATATTGTCCATGTTGGAAGTAATCAGCAAGAAACTCTCGATCTAGGTTTGATGGTAAATACGCGATAAAATATGACAGATTCTAAAGATTTAAACCAGGATGAGATTGGTCAGTATTGAGTAACTGATCATTTAAAAGTATACCTGTACTGTAACAAGTTACTTGCTGCTTAGGTAGGTAAGGTATGCATTTCTCGGGTCATGGAATTGAGTGATGAATGTCCTATAGGTATATGAGTGTCCTCACAGTTGAAAGCAAACCTTACTTACAAGTGTATAAGTCCTCTCATTGTCTACCTCTAGGTATCTAGAGGTAGTTTTACTTGGTAAATATTATGTACCCAATGAAATATAACTAACCCTTTGTTCATAAACAAGTGCTACATAAATGTGAGTTACGCTGTTATTGCTAATAACTTACAGATCGACAGTTTACAAGTCCCATGTTTGATTTGAAATTTTACTGTACTATAACAGCCTGAAAACAGACTAAACACGTTTCTCAGGTCTCTTTTCCTTGCACAACTATCAATGATCATTTCATCAGTGTGCAAGAATAAGTTTTAAGTACTTTGTAAGTCATATTAAAACAAGAGCTAGCTATAATTCTCAATGCATGAGAAAAAATTAAATGATATCTCATGATTAAATGTTCATTTCTATCCCAGAATATAAACTTCATAAATAGAATGGTTGTATTTAAACAATGTACTATCTGAAAATCAACGCAAGGTTGGGTGCCGACAGCTTCACCAAACCACAGTACACATATAGTTAGTAAACTCTAGCTTTCTTTTCACCTGTTTATGCGTTAAACCCTGTCATACATCGTAAAAGAGTGGTTTGAAGATAATCCTAATCAAGTTAGTAGTGTATAAGCGTTTTTTTAATGAACCGATAGAATACAAACGGTTATTCGTCATGAGATTGAATCAGAAATCTAAAGAAAGTTAACAAAAGAACGATTTTAAAATGAGCACTTTAGGTGTAAACCGCGTGACAAAGCTAAAACTCAACTTACTGGGTTTATATAATCGTTCTCTTCCTGATGGTGGTTTATTTATATGAAATATTCGATCAGGTATTAGCTCAAAGTTGAGAGGCCTAAAATGTCATAAAAGAACAATGCCTAACTAATTTAAATATACGTAAAACTCAGTACCTTTAACTGTCATGTTAATTCATTGAGTATTATTAGTCAGTTCTAAGAGGTCTCCTGATCCAAGCTTGATAAGATTGTCCACAGTTTTAACCGAATTCAAAAATCCTTTGCGTGTATTAACAGTTTCTTTCAGAAATACATAGTTATAATTTACATTGGCATCATCAAAAGGTGTAGTTTGAGCTTCCGGCCAATTTTTACTGAAAATGTCTACTAAAGAAATAATGGTGAGTTAGAAAATTCTCATCCTGGTTTACAACCATTTGTTAATAAATGATCACAGTGTTGAGGTGTGGATCAAAACACGAAAATTGTCAATGTCATTTTCTTTAGGCAAGTTGGGAGTCTTATAAAAAACACAGCAAGATATTTAATTACTGATAGGATAGTGTACACGTTTTGCTACAGATATCGTTTGGTAGTTAGGTGGATCCATTTTTTGTCTTCGGCCGAATTCTAGGCTCTGGAATTCTTTATAACTTTTTCAGAACTTATTTCAAAGATTTATACTTTTTAGAACCTAATTTTTGATCCCTTATCTTTCCTGCTATCATTGACACCGTTACTGAACATACGTTGCTGGAATTAAGCATGAAAATTTCACTACTCTGTGCTAACAGAGGAAGGTAACTTGAACTGAGAATGCCGATTTCTAAGTCTTAACTGACTCACTGAGAACGAAAGTTTGTTTAAAGTCCTAGCATACATGAGCGTTTTGTTATATTCGTTTACGTACTGACTGACTGCGAACATTCCTGACAGTCCCCTTGTGTTCTGAACGCTTAGCGCTTGTTTCAGTTTAGTGATGTTAGTTGCCATTACTAATCAGCTGTTATGCTACCTGAATCAAACTGGACACAGAATTCAACGATGAAATAAAGTTATTACACTCAGTTATCAAGCCCAAACTATATGACTAGTAGTGCATTAGGATGTGTTCTAACTGAGGTCGGGCCAACAAAATATTTGATAAAATATACTATCGTTAGCAAGTTTGTCATATGAGAATTAAAATAATTTCAAATATCTTTAGGTCCCTACATAATAAGGATTCTAGTTAATTAATGTGTCCTTTTATGAACTCATGTAAAAGCAAAAATATGATGCGAAAAATGACAAGTCATAAGGATTTAGGGTGATCTGAAAGTATAGAAGAAAAACACATCATCCTTAGACGTTTTTAACAAAAGGTGTGACAAGTTTAGGTAACACTTTGATTGAGAACCTGCTCTGACTTTGTTTACTGACAAACACTTTCCATGTTTTAAAACCATCGTACGTTCAGATTCTATATAGTGGTGTACTTCACAGTGTGAATAAATATCGTAAAACCATTTTCACAGACATCGAACTTGTATTTCTGAGTTCATTAGAAAGCAATTTCATCTTTGGTATATCAGTCAATGAAAAATATCCCTAATTCTAAATTCGTTCAGAAACGGGGAAAAAAGTCACGCTGAACTGTGAATAAACAAAATTTAACCTGTACTCTGGGAATACGTTGTTGATTCAGAGTGGTAAGACCAGTTACGTGGCACTCACTGGCCGCATATCTAATGGATGATAGCTTAGAGTGAAAAGTATTTTCTCTCTCTATTGAGACATGATAATGTTAAACATTAATTTCAATCTATGGAGAGCTTCTCTTTGTAGAGATGAACTCTGTCTCGAAAGCAAACATGTGGATTCCGAAACGGATTACGTCAACCAAAAACAAAATTTATTCTTTGATCTTAACCTATTGACAAAACCTATTGCTTTGTGTGCCAAATGAGCTTCCTACCACGGCAGAAGCACACTTCTTCAAAATATGGTAATAAAAAATTACTCACAACATTATTATGTTTCGCTTCGAAGCCATCAAAGCGTCACTGCTTATTTGCTTTGGTTTACTGAGTTTAGCAGCCATTTTTCCGTTGTTGAGCAACGAGTAGTATATCTGCCTCGTTTTTAGCACATCTTTCGGTTTTTCTCCTTAATATTAAATTTAGTGGATTTTTGTCCTACTTAAAATTTTATCGATCCACTCCTTTTTATTAAGGTTGTAGTTTTCGGAGTCACCCATAGTTTTGACTGGAAATGCACCATCTCCTTGAAGTGCTGCCGTAATCATTTTGGTGTTACAGTATAGATTTTCATAAACCCACAAAACTCCAATTTCAGGAGAGACCTTGATGTTACTACACATTTGATAAGTTTAAACGCTGAACACTTTTTTAATACTATTCGAACGATAATTCGGCATTCTGATTGAAATGACATATGTATCACGCATTTAATGTACATAATTCAAAATCTTTTCGTTCTACAACTCAAGTTTATTTCGTCAGAAGCAACAGAAGTAAAGTTGTCGTAAATCCAGTTTACTCTGTTCCCTTCATCACTGTGCAGGACCGCCGAAATATCTTAAAATTCTTAAAAATTTGTCGACATAAATGTTTTCAAGGCCTGAGAGGGCTAAAATGTATTCGCCTCACCTGGCACACTTTATCTGCATCAGATTCTATTAAATCTATCTGGTGTCTGAGGTGCTACCTATGGAACTAGATAGGGTATTGCAGTGTCATTGTAAATAAGTCCTCAAAATAAATAGTTCCTTTGGTCGTCCAGATTGGGTCTTGCCCCATTTTTCCGTGGATGGGGTCAAGAATCATTATAATAGTGCTCCATACCCCTGAAAATGACTAATGAGCTTAATCTGTATATTTCTAGACATATCGGCAATTTTCAGTTTGTAAAATGAAGAACAAGGTTGTCAATCTCTGGAAAAAACGTGACATCTTAACCAAGTGCAACAATTATCGAGAGGCCTAACTCACATATAGGTGAACTTACTTACTTACTCTTGTCAGTCCCAATATAGCATAGGCCACCGCCCAGTTTTCTCCAACCAACTCTGTCCTGGGCTTTCCTATCGAGTTCTGTCAAATTTTTTATTCTGATATCTTCCCATATTTCTCGGCGTTATGTGTTCCTTGGCCTTCCTCTTTTCATTTTACTGTCAATTGACTGTTTGTCTTGTGAGGCAGTTAGGTGCTTTCATCAGTGTGTGTCCGGTTCACTTCCACCGCTTATTCTTGATTACTCATTCTCTAGTATCTTGATTGTTCTGTCCCACAGTAAGTTGTTGCTGATGGTTTCTGGCCAATGGATCCGAAGTATTTCTGTGGTGCGCGCTACTTATAAGTAGTATATGACGCGAGTAAAAACGTAATGTCTGGCAGCAGAAGATGGGGGAAGATCAAGAAAGGAGGAGCGCGAACACAATGGGATTTGTATGAAACGCATGAATAGTGAAATGTCAGGCAATCGATTGATGTTTTTGCAACAGGAACAGTCCAGTTAGATATGATGGATTATTATTTTGCAAATTGACGATTTACGATATGGTTTTTCTATTTTACCCATTAACTCTGTAATTTGAGATAAATACAATTCGGTTGCCCTCACCTGTGTTCTCCTTCACTACATTTCGAGTAGACGACTGCTATTAAATACTTGTAACTTCTGGATGATGGCTTTCGCATTTCTCTAAGTTTACGATCCATACAGTAGAACTGTTTTGACGTTTGTATTGCGAATTCTGACTTCCAATTTGGTTGACAGTTGTTTACAGATCCAGATGTTCTTCGAATTTAGGAATGGATTCCTTGCCTTTCCGATCCGCGCCTTCGTATCTGCATCAGATTCACCTTGATCGACAATGATCCTGTCCAGATAGGTAAAAGTGTTAACGTCCTTCAAAGAATCTCCATCAAGAGTGATTTGGTTGGTGCATGTTGTGTTGCATCGGAGAATTTAGCTTTTTCCTTTATGTATGTTGAAACCTACTGCTGCAGAGGCTGCTGCTATACTGGTCGTCTTCTCTTGCATTTGTTGCTGCGTGTGCGATAGAAGAGCCGGGTCATCTGCGAAGTCCAGATCGTCCAGCTGCGTTCTAACTGTCCAGTTGATACCGTGCTTCCCTCCAGATTTCGACGTCCTCATAATCCAGTTGATGACCAGGATAAAGAGAAAGGGTGAGAGTAAGCAACCTTGCGTGACACCGGTCTTCACCTCGAAAGAGTCGGTTAGCTGTCTTTCGTGTATGATTTTGTAGTTTAATCCATCATAAGAATTCCGTATGATGTTGGACATCTTCTCAGGCACGCCGTGATGTCGAAGAAGCCTCCACAGTGTTTTCCTATCAGCGCTATCGAATGCTTTCTCGTAGTCGATGAAGTTGATGTAGAGTGTTGAGTTCCATTCAGTTGATTGCTCCACAATCATGCGTACTGTTGCTATTTAGTCAGTACACGATCGATCCTTACGAAATCCAGCCTGTTGATCTCGAAGTTGGGCATCTACGAAGTCTTTCACTCTGTTTAACAATACCTTGTTGAAGACTTTGCTTCGTGTTGAGGGAAGAGTGATGCCTCTATAGTTCTCACTCTTGATGAGATCGCCTTCCTTTGGTATTTTGATGAGGTATCCTTCTTTCTAGTTCGTCGGTCCTCGCTCTTCATCCCAAATCTTTGTGGGCCAACATCGATAGAGAAGTTTGTAGATGCTGCATCGGCGCTGGGTGGGTGTAGTGATCTACCCACCTGATTCGCCATTCTTCATTGTTGCAAATTACTTTGCCTCCTTTGCTTTTCTAGTGATGATCTGAGGCTATATCAGCTCCTCTCTTGGTTCTCACATCCTCCATAGTCCTGAACTTTTTGTTGATACAGATATGGTCAATTCGGTTCTGAGTAGTGTGGTCCGGTGAAATCCATGTAGCTTTATGTATGCGTTTGTGAGAAAATATTGTGCCAACGATGATCAGTTTGTTCAAGGCACATAGGTCTGCAAACCTCTCACCGTTTACTTTACTTTCTCGCAGTCCATGTCGTCCCATGATGTCTTCATATCCAGTGTTGTCCATGTCAACCTTGGCATTAAGGTTTCCCATAAGAATCGTCAAATCCTTTGGCGAGCATCTGTCGAAGATTGACTGCAGCCTTTCGTAGAATTGATTTTTAAAACTGTCTTTGTTTTCATTGATAAGTGTATAGGATTGGATGACGTTCATTGTAATGTCCTGTTTCTTTGTTTCGAAGGATGCTTTAATGATGCTGGGTCCATGAATTCCCATCCAAACGGTGCCTTTTGTTCTTGTTTGGACAGCATCAGTGTAGCTGCTTGTATGCGGGGCATTTTCTTCCTCATGGACGGACCATAACAGCAGCTCTCTTAAAGCTAGTCTCAGTTGTTCAACCTGCGTCCAATGCATTTAGCTGAATCCAAGCATCTGCAGGTTGTTTCTTTTCCTTTCTGCAGCAATTTGAAATGGTCTTTCAGTCTCGCACAATGTTTTAACATTCCATGTGACTAAAAGAATGGTTGCTTTGGTTATCAGAAGAGGCAACGAACTCGTAGCTTTCGAAGGAATTTAGCTTTCATCATAAAACGTCAGAACTCTTCTGGCTGAAGATCTAATAATAATAATAATAATAATAATAATAATAATAATAATTTATTCTCAAATAACAAACATGTTACAAGAGACGTGCCAATTTACAGGCAAGATCAAAATGTTAAGATTAACAACATATTTCTTTTAAAACGGTATACAGTTACTGAAACATTTCACAAGATTCATTGTTTTCTTAAAGATGGAATGTACAAAGCGAGTAATTGGCGCAAGTTAAGAAGGTTGCGTTACGACAATCATCTTATGGACTGAGAAACGATTCATGGTACAGATAGGTTTTCATATAACAAGAATTGATGCGGTAAGTGTACAAAGGTCTGGTTGATATTCGTCAGCTAATGATTTCACATGTTCTTGGCTAGGGTAACCAAGTCTACTGCAAATATCCAGACAAATATATGTGGATTGGAATAAGGTTCTGAAAAAAGAGGAATAAAGAAAACGGGACGAGGAGCAGAACAGAAAATATTCATGTTCAAAGCCGAACAACGGCTTCGCACATACGTTTACGGATGAAACAAAGGTATGTTTACCCAAACATTTTTAATATCAGAACACTTTACATCTGCGCTTATGTGGGTTAATGAAGACAATTCAGTAGTGAGATAACTAATGGGAAGTTAGTTGAAAGAATAGAGGAAATTCAGAAGAACCAAGTTGTTAGTAATAAAGTTGATTTACAAAATATAATAAAGAGTATCAGTGATATAATTTTTTGGTTTTATTTATTCTTTTTATTTTTAAATCTGAGGCTCAAGAAGTTATGAATGAGCTCTTTTTTAGTATAGTTGTCCAGACCAGCTTGTAATAGGATTTCTCGGTAGGAAGTAAAAACCAGTGCAAGGTTACAGACATGGGTTGTAGACGAGGTTAACAAGGAAAAGTAACATCAATATCACTGATTTGTTACATCCTGCTATATCGCAAACAAAATGTTCTGCCACACAGACATGGGTAGATTGAGGTTATCGCCCCACCGTCATGAATGCTGGTCAGATACACCACCCACAGGGCAGAGTCAAAATGGTTGCAACTGATTTTTGTGATTTGCGTTTTCGTAGCGAGTTATTTTTTTATAGGATGGGTCGCCAACCGCATGCACAACCCTCCTCCCTTATCCGGGCTGGAGACCAGCAGTAGCTCCAGAGAGGCTTCAGACAGAGTTAAATGTAAACGAACAGCTTACATTAGTACCCCTCAACTCATGTGTATTTTTACGAAGTTTGGTGATTTTTACGCATTTTTGTCAGTAGGAAGATGCTGAAATTGCTAAGACTTTATACCAAGTGTCACAGGATAGGAGATTTTCAAAGTGTAACGGTATTATTAACGTATCATCAATTCCGCGCATGTAGGTGTAAAAAAGGTCAAGAATAACAGTAAATCATGACTTCAAAATAACAGCACATTGAAATGCAGAGGCCATCAATGGTTGTCAAATGTTATGATCTACTCGCAGGGAGATCACCCCATCTGTGTGTGCCGTCACGTAGAGTATTGCAGCAGCTAGTTCATACTTGAATGAAGGTGTGACCACACTGAAGCATATTTATTGTGTGTGAATCAGCTTGATGATGATGGGGATCAAAAACCGCAGTCGAATAAACCCAGAGTGAGACCTCATTTAACTTAACTTCCAGTGACCAAGACAACCAATTCAAACAAATGGTATCAGACGCATCAATGAACACTGTGAA